CCAAGGCTCAGAGAAGCAGACATGTTAGAATGATCTATTTTATAAAACCATAAATCCCACCAGTTATTTTCTTCATGAGAATCCTGAAGATGTACCATTTACCAAGGCAATAAGGAATGCACCAGTGACAGGGACCAATAATATGGAAAAACTCAATTGTGGCTGGCCCTCTGTAGGCTGCATTTTATGGTAGGGGAATGCCATTATCGAACGCGACTGCCTACTAGCAGTGGGGCTTATAGAATCACAGGATAGCTGGGCTAAGTGGCAGCACTTAACCCAGAATTATTGGAGGGCCAGAACTAGGGTGATGCAAGAGATGTGCCCTAGGATGCAAAATTAAAGAAGGCACCCGTTCTCGGAGTTGTGCAAGTGCTGATCCTGAGAATGAGTGCCTCCTTGAGAGGGGAGCATGTAGGGCAGCTTCAAGATTGGGATGCAGTCATGGGACACAACATCCTGACCTGTAAGAATCTATGATGAGAGTTAATAGAATATGTGTTTCTTAGGGTAAAGGTCAGCCAATATGGGTATTGCCTGATATAGAATCAAAAGAGACCAAGAACGAGCAATCCAAAGATGGAGGCCAGCCACCCAATAGGACGTCATGATCTCTTGCCCAGTTACTTTCTTTTTCTTGGCAATTTTCTCACCAGTTTTCAGACTGAAAGTGAGGATAGATTCCTATGAGGAAGAACTAACAAGTTTATACAATAGTAATTCTCCAGTCTCTCTTCAAAGGAATCTTCAGTAATTTAATTAAGTAATTGTGCACTAGAAACTAGAAACTTGTTAAATCTGAGCTGTCTCTGATACCCAGGAACCGAAAGTGTCACCATGACCACAGTTAAAATAGCAGCTGCAGGGGCCAGGCAATTAAAAGATTCCTAGCACCTGTTTATTTCACAGTGATCCATTGGGTTTATGGACCCACCTAGTGGCCATTTCTCTGGTTCTCAAGTAGAGCAGTTTGTAGGACTCTTAACACTAGTTTTCTGACCTTTGGAATGAGAGCTATCAAAGTAAGAAAACCCATGTTAAAAAAAAAAAAACACCAAAAACCTACAAATAATAGCACTGAAGGCTTTTCCCTTAAGATCAGGAATCAACGCAGGGATATCTACTCTCATCATTCCTATTCAGCAGTATACCAAAGGTCCCAACTAGTGCAATAAGGCAAGGAAAATAGCTAAAAGGCATACAGTTTGGAAAGATAAAAGCAAAACTGTGTTTATTTGCAGACAACGTAATTGTTTATTTGGTAAATTTCAAAGAATTTATAGAAAACCTGCTAGTACTAACAAGACAATTTAATAAGGTCATGACGTACATGGCCAATACATAAAAATCAGTTGTATTTCTATATACTGGCAATGAAAACTTGGGAATTGAAGTTTTAAAAGGGCAATACACTGGGTGACAAACGCCATTTTCAAAAGACCACACACTTTAAGATTCCCTTTGTAAAACATCGTCAAAGTGACAAAATGATACAGATGGAGAACAGATGAGTAGTTACCAGTGTTAAGGATGATGGGCCAGGGGAGAGGTGTGAGCATGAAGAGAAAGAAGTAGTTCAAGGGGGATCTTTGCAGTGATAGAATACTTTTGTGTTTTGATTGTTGTGGCTGTTACACAGTCTATACTGTGATAAAATAGCATAGAGCTATACACATACATTGAGCCAATATCGGTTTCTTGATATTATTATAGTTCTTTAAAATATAATCATTGGGAGAAACTGGGTGAAAGGTACATGGGACCTCTCTATACTATCTTTGCCACTTTCTGTGAATCTACAATTATTTCAAAATAAAAAGGTTTTTAAATGACACAAGCCTTATGTGGTATGTGGCAGCTGAAAACTCCAAAGCACTCATGAAAGGGAATAAAAACCTGATTAATTGGAGTGATATACCATATTCATGGATTGGAAGTTTCAACATTATTAAGATATTAATTCTCCTGAAATTGATCAAGAGATTCTAGAGTCAAAGCTTTCCAATCCAAACCTTTGAAGATGTTGTATAAAAATTCATGAACTATTTCTAAAATGTAGTACATGAATAAGCCAAGGACCGAGAAGAGCCAAAACAATTTTGCAAAAGAATAAAAAGTTGAAAGACTCATACTTTTTATTTTAAGACCTACTATAAAGCTACAATGATTAACAAACACATTGTGGTGTTTACATAGGAATGAATTTACAATCGATGGAAAAAATAAAGTCCAGAAATATACTAACACATAGGTGGCTAACTGATTGTAGACAAAGGTACCAAGATAATTCAGTGGAGAAAGGGTAATATTTCCAACAAATGGTGCCAAAACAATTGAACATCCATATGCAAAAAAGAAAAAAAAAAAAGAACTTTGATTCTTACCTTTCACCTTATGCAAAAATTAACTCAAAATGAATCATAGACATAAATGTAAAACTAGCTAATTTGGGAACTACTAAGTTAAGAAAGATACTATATTTCCATTCATCTAGGAATTCTAGGGTCTAATCTTTTTTATAAAATTAGATCTCTAACACATACATGCCTGTAACTCAATAGCTTAACTTGCAGACTGTCAATGCTAACTCATGTTTTACTATGTCATCTCAGTTTTATAAAGAGATAATATATTTGGCTTTTTGAAAAACTCATGAACTGAGGTTGAAGGTATTATCTATTGGGTTGTCAAAAAAGTCATGACATATTTTTTCTATGTTTCTCGTTGCAAAAATACATCATGACTTTTCTGACAACCCAATATTATGTAATTCACTGTTCCTTCTAAAGTAGCCCCTGCAATAAATTTCCTTTCCATTTTGAGAACAGACAAAAAAGCTTCTTTTGAACTAACGTTTCTTTTTACCAGTGTAAATATTTTATTCATTATATTTCCTATGTTAGTTTGACTGAAAATAAACTCATTAAATTATTATATAAATTAAATTTTAGTAAATTTACTCCTATCTCTAACATGATTTTGATTTTTCATTTTTATTTTAGCAAGTTTAAATTATGCATATCTACTAAAAATAATATATTCTAAAATTGTTTTGAAATTATTAAGTTTCTACTGGGTGCTGAGCTAAACATAATAAAAAGAAAACTATTTAAGAAAACTCATTAGCAAGAAAACTTTTCAGTTATATAAATTCCATCATTTATTATGTGTATTAAATATTCATGAGTGATAGTTAATCTTATCTTTAAACCTAAAAATATCAGCATCAGAAAGTTGATGATTTCCAAAAAAAATGATGAGAAGAGAGGATTAGGAGATACTCACAGGATTATTTGTGGATCAGAGGAATTTTTGGAAAACCATGTTCTTTTTCTGACCTTTTGCTTCCTTCATTACAAAATGGCAGCTCAGTCCACAGTCTCCATTCATATATAGTTTTTCATCTGAAAGTATCTTATTCACGAACTTCTCCCGAGGCTCTTTCATTAAGCCTGAAGAAAGAAAGAAAGAATCACATATTATAGTTTGTTTTCTTATGGTCAGAGAACAATGTTTAGCAGCATAAAATTTTAATTAATCTTTTGTTGGGTTGTATTAGCACCAAATTTTCACCTCATGTAACTTCATACATTCTCTATTCATCATATAATTATTCAGCATATACTGTGGGCAAACCTCTGTGGGAAATACAAAGATGAACTCATCATAAAGGAAGGAAAAACATTCTACTTAAAACAAGGCGATGAATGGAACTGCTCTACTTTCTAGGGATGGGAGCCATCCTCCCATTTTCATTTCAAGAAAAACAGTAAGTGCTGCCAGTGCTGCCAGTACAAAAGCAATGTTGCGGTGGAAATAGACTGAGGGGCTTAGAGAGAAGCAGAGAAGCTGTCAGCTTCTCATCTTGCATGGTAAAAATTCAAATTAATAAAGAAGCAGGCAGGAAACTGGAGGATCCTTCTCAGAAGAAATTAGTCAGCAACAGAGAAGACACCAATAAACATTGATATTTAGGGACTCCTCTGAATCTGTAAGGGTATAAACTAAGCTGCTGAAACAAAAGCAGAAATTTATACCTTTTAAAAAAAATAGATATAAATTTATTTTTTAGAAATTTATACATTTATATAAATGTATAATTTATATCTTATACAACATTTTAGAGGCAGAAGCATAATCAAGTTGGCCAGCATCTCTGTCCAACGAGGTCATCCAGGAATCCGGTTCCTTCCTTTTTGTTGCTCTAACATCCCCTAGGGTGTTGTCCTCATCAGCATGGTGAAAGCTGGCTCATCAGCACCCTGTCAGCGTTTCAGCCCTCATAGGACAGAAGAGGAAACGCAAAGTAAGTGGCTTCCTTTTTAACAATGTGACTAGGAAGTTGTGCCCTTTGGGAGGTTTCTCCATGGGGGGCTCTCTTTGAGGAACCAGGTGTCCTGTTGATATTAAAGGGGTGCAAATAGTTCTATTATTTAAAGCAGGCAGGGGGGAAATGGATACTGGGAAACAATTAGCGTCACATGACACAACTCCAAATAAGAAAAAAAAAATAGCTTACTGCCCAATCTCCCCATGTACATAGAATGTAAATCAGTTTATGTGGGTCTCATCCTTAAAAATGAATACAGAACGCTTACACGGTAGAAAGTTCGTGAATTTAATCATCCAACCTTCGTATATAACCTAGAATTATCATCAACAGAAGTTTTTAGAGAGCAAAATAGAACTTACAGAGAAACTCTGAGATATATGGGTAGGCGTTATAGCCATAAAAAGCAGAACACTTTTTTAAATGAAGAGAACATTTTTAAAAAACAATGAAATAGTTAAACTACAAAATCAAGAAAAAATCCCCAAAGAATGTGGTGGAAGGGTGAGATAGAGATAGTGATATAGGAAAGCAAGAAAAAATATAAGAAAATTATAGGGTTAACAAAGAGGTCTCACATCTGACCAATAAGATACCCACAAAGAGAAAAGGGGGAAAAAATAGAGAAGAGAAAGTTACTGAAGAAACCATACCAAGAAAATTTCTCAAAAAAAAAGCCACAATATTGCCACGGGGATATGAAAGACAGTTTGGGGAATATAATTAATAATGTTGTAAAGATTTTGTAGAATGTCAGATGGGCACTTGTCTTTTTAGGGACACCACTTCATAAGTGGGATAGATGCTTGACCACTGCACTGAACACCTGAGGCTGAAGCTGAATAATATTGAATGTCAACTATAATTTAATATATAATATATATATATATATATATATATATATATATATATATATATATGGTCATGGGATGTGGAGTACAGCATAGGAAATACAGTCAATGGAATTGTAACAACTATATACGATGGTGTAAATTTCTATTACATTGTTTTCTACACCTGAAACTAATGATAATAATAAAAAAGAACATGGGTTTCCTTGTAGAAGAATAGAGATAAAGAAAAAATCCTGTATGATCAGTAATAAAAATGGTTCCTTGCTTCTTAATTGCAATATTGGAATCTATCACAAAAAGAAGATATTCTTTAAAAATTCAAGAAGATAATTATTTTTTACCCAGTTTTCTGCTCCCAGCCAAATTATCAATCAAGTATTTGGATAGAGACAAGTTTTCAGATATGGAGGAACTCAATATTTTACTTCCTATGCATCATTGTCTAGGTGGCTCATTGAGAATATGCACCAGTAAAATGAGGAAATAATCAAGAGAACAGATAGAGCAGGAAAGTGAGTATACAGATGTAAGAATATCCACTGCATGTTGAAGTGCATAGCAGACACTGCCAACTTGTTGTCAAGATCACTAGGCTCCTACCACTTTGGCACACTCTGAACAAACTCCAACCTCCAGTATTTGCTTGTTTTGCTCATATCCCTACCCTGGAGGTTACTGAAAACAGTCTCAGAGCTGCAGTTGACTACCAGAGTCCTGCTCCTCAGGAGCATGCTTACCTAGCCTGCTGTGTGGGTCATGTGTCCTGGGAATAAGCCTCCTTCAGTAAGGGGAGGGAGTTGGTGAATAAATAAATACCCAAGGTCTTCATCCTCAGGAGTACAAATCATAGTGTGTTCAACATACTTCAGAGGGCAGTCAGCAACAACAATCCCCTCAGTGGTGCTCCCTCTTTAGGCTGTCCTTCCTCCTCCTTTACACTATCCACCCACTCACAGAGCCTCCTGGAATCACCTTTCCCCAAAATTAGTTACCCACAAATCCCTGTCTCAGGGAAAACCCAAAATTAACATCAACTGAAAGGAATTTCTAGTGGCGGGATCAGGTAATGTCTTTTAAGACCATGGGTAAATACCTTCCATGTTAAGCAGGTTTCTCTAACAGTTCAAGCCCCTCTGTAATGTCTCAAGTTCAGTGAAAGCCTGTTATACATACGACTTTCCTGCCTGCTAAAATGTGTTCACAGCCTTCAGGGCCTCCTAAAAGGTTTATGTGGTGAGTGTGGTTGAGAGGCTTCTCTCCAGATCATGAGGAGGGTGCATCCTGACAATGGCAGGACTACAGGATCAGGTCCAAGACCAACCTCATGTGTGGGATAGTTGCTCAAGCCTTTTTATTTTTCTGTTATGGAAAATGAGGACAAAATGGAACCCGAAACAACCATGAAGACAAATAGTTTTGAGATGTGCATATTTATTATAATGAATTTGGGGCCAAAGGGATGGTAGAGTTGTTCAACTGAAGTGATCCATGTTAAATTGAAGGCAGCAAGTCACCTTTACCTCCTTCTTTTGGGAAAACTTATAGGGACAAATCCAGAGTCGATTTTTCTCGCCTTATCTTTCTCTCTCGTTCCTGGCGTTCAATCTCCAAGGACAATTTATACACCTCCAGAGCCATTTTCACATCTGCCACATTTGGGAGACACTTCATGATGCTTATGCCTGCTAGAGCGTGCTCACAGCCTGCAGGGACCTCCTGAAAGGGATACAGGTGGTAAGAGGCTTCCCTCCAGATCATGAGGAGAGTACATCATGACAATGGCAGAACAACAGGATCAGGTCCAAGGCCAAACTCAGGACTAATGGGTGAGCAGGGAAACCAGAAAACACCTCGGATCCCACCATAGTCTTCCCCAGAAGGATATAGATCTGTTCTGAGACAGCTTCCCAGAAAGTCTTTTTGGGGACAGAGGCTATTTCTGCTAACCATCCAGAAATGGTACACAGTATATTATATGAGCTAGAAAGGAAAGTTAAGGGTCAGTACTTCCAGGTCTATGAGAACCACATCTCCCTAAAGGAGCTCGGTTTTGCCTGTTCTCAAGTGAGAACACGAAAACTTGCCACCCTAACTGACAAGAGGGCTTCAAGGCAAAAAAAGAGAGAGTTCCTTTGAATGACTCAGAAATGAATCCTGACAAGTCAGAACTCACCCTTGCTGCCTGGAACAGAGCTTTGGGGCAGCACCCTTTATAGGGTTGGATAGCACAGGATCTTCCTTCATTTGTGCCACTTACCCGCTCACACTTGGGCACCTCTGGGTACCAGGTCCTGTCCTCTGAGCAGGTGATATTTGGGGAACCAACCACACCATAGCCAGAGTCACACTGGATGGTGACATTTTCAGATTCAATATACTGTTGCTTGTCCACAGACAGCTTTCCATGTTCTATCTCTGGTTTCAGACACAGAGCTACAATGAAAGCACAATGTTAAGCAATCAGCAAATATGAGAAAAAAGACACAATAACTAGTTTGAATTACAAAAATGAACTACATGTAGGTGTTTTCTCTTTCTTTCACTTTGATAGCAATAATATTAGTTAACACTGTTATTGAGCACTGGCTCATATCAGATTCAGGGCTAAGCATTTCATGTGATTATCCCATTTAAGTCTCAGTTGGCTCTATGAAGTGTGCATTGTTATTATTCCATTTTATCTAGGACAACATGAGATACAGAGAGGTTAAGAAACTTGTGCAAGGATATAGCATCTTTAATTAATATGACAGGATATAAAAAAGGCTCATGACCCCAGATTCTCAGCTGTCAAAGCAACTATCCCTTGTATCTTGATCTCTGTACAAGATACTAGGTATGAAAATCTCCCTTTTGCCTCTTGTCTTCCTGTGTGCAATGAAGACGATGGTGATAAATAATTCCTGGAGCTGTTGATAGCAAAGTGATATTAAACCTGTGTGCATGTGAAAATCAGGCCGAGTCTTGACTCCTCTTGTCCTCATCACATGTTTGCAAACTAGGAGTCCCCCACCACATGCCTCCATCACTTCCTGATGTTTGGAGTTGACTCAAGAGAGCATACATTCATGCTACAGGCCACAGCTACCCTCAGAAAAAAATGTACCACATGTAGACTATTTACAGAAATACACGAGAAAGTGGGACCAGGGGCTGCCTTGAGGAAGCTGAATTTTGTAACTGGGAGAAAGAAGTAGGGGAGATTGATGTTTCTGTATGCCCTTTGTACTTTTTGCTTTGGGT